GGCCGCGTGGCTGGGGCGCCCTGGGCCTGGAGGCCTCCCCCGCACCGGTCCTCCCACCCCAAGGCCACAGAGCTGGGGCTGACTCTCCACTGAGGGATTTGAGGTGGAACATTGCCCTCCACCGGTTCTCTTTTTAAAATGCCCAGCCATCTCCAGTTGCCAGTCACCAGTTTATCAACCTTTTAACATCCCAGCGCCTGTCCTTTCATCAGTAAAAATGGTATAAAATCTCTGCCCTGCCTGTCCTCCGGGGCTGTTTTGTGGGAGGAAATGAAGGTACAAGTAATAAACAAAAGATGTAATATACATATGTGTGTAAATATTTTGTATAAATGTCTAGCACGCATACACATTTCTGAGTGTGATATAATATTCCATTTGTAGTACGTGGCATGTAATGTAAGTCGAGCATTTAAAATTTTGCAAGATTTGTGCTCAAGCATTATTTCATTTTGTCTACCTCCACCTTGCTCACTGTTTCCTATACCTTTAGCACAGTGACTGACCAGCGTAGGCACTCAATAAATGTTTTTGTTGTTACTATTGACTCCTCTTAACTTTATGCTGCAACTATTCCCAATTTACAGATGAGGGAACTGAGGTGCACAGAGGTAAAGCCACTCAACCAAGGCGTGACAGCTGGCAGCTGGTGGCACTGGCACTTGAACCCACGTGGTCTGAACTCCATACCACTTCATGGTATGTATCCACAATGTTTCTTCAGCAGTGATGGGGAGGGGTGCTTGGTGGGGAGTGGGCTTCTCAGAGGAGGGGTGCCGACTGGGAGGGGTGCTCCTTAGGAGGACTTATGGAAGTGGAGGACTTTCCCAGGTGTTCCCAGGAGGAATAGCTAAGCTTTTTGAGACTGTGTGCTAATCTTTAAACCTTTTCAAACCTTTTGCAACAAATTCAGTCTTAATTCTCTGATAAGCAGGAGGTGGGCACTATTACTGTCACACTCTTTAGATGAGAAAAAAGGAGGCACAAGGCAGTGATGTTGCCCAGGGGCCATATACAGTGACGAGGAGCTGGAATCCAAACCTAGACCCCCTAAGCCGAAATCCTTCCCTAGCCACTGCCCCACACTGCTACACAGTGCCAGATCCCGTGGGGAAGAGGGATGAAATCCTTAGGGTTAGTTTGGTACCTTAATCCCTGAAGACTGAAAACTGTCTCAGAATACCAAGCACCACTCCACCAATGAAGGAGGTGATTTTAAATTTTAAATGGGGATAATAGAACCTACCTCTGGGGTTATCAAATAATTTCAGGTATGTAAAGCACCCGGCATGCAATAGGTACTTAATGAATGCTTGTTGAATGAATAAATGCATGATATTAATACCTAATACGGGTGCCTCCAACTCTGGAGCCCCTTTTATGACTGAGGGCTGAGCATGTCACTTGCATTCTTGGATCGTCATCTTCACCAGAGCCCTACAAAGTGGGGAGGTGCATCGTCCCATTTTACAGGTGAGGAAACTGAAGCTCTGGAAGGGGAGGTGAGTCGCCTGAGGGAAACAGGTGAGAAGTGACAGGGACAGGAGAAGAATGCAGATCTGTTTAGCTCTAGAGGTGTACCATCCTGCCTCCAGTGAAAGAATAAACAAGAAGTTGGTCCTAAGTCATTCAGCAGGAGACTGCCAGATGTCACTTTCAGGGTCCCCAGCTCTGCTAGCCTCTCCCTCGTGGGGACCTGCCATCCAGCTTTGAAGTGTCACCTGGACTCAGACCTAGGCTGTGCCTGTTCCAACAAGGCAGCTGGCACCTTCACAGGTCTCAGTGGGGAAGGCCCCAGTCTAGGGCACTGATGCATGTGTGAATTGCATGTGACCTGTGGTGGGATAAAAGGAGGCCCGGGGGTTGTTGGCGTGCAGAGGGGCCCCAGTCTAGTGTGGTGAGGGTCAGAGAAAGCTTCCGGAGCAGGTGACCTTAAGCTGAGTCACAGAGAACCAAAGATGGAGAGAAGATTGTTCTAGAGCCTGCTGGTGTTTATTTGGGTTGGGGGAGTCCAAGAACTTAGAAAGGAATAAAGTTACATCTTCATTGTCACTTACCTGGGGCTTTGTCACCCATAGAAATCATGTATATTCATATCACATTACAGCTGTTGCAAATAACTTAAAATGTCATTTACACTCTTTACTGCTTGAAAATTACAACAGTTATTAGGCTCCCTACACTAGATTTTTCTATTTGATGCTTTAACGAAAAAGCACGTACATTACTATACTTAAGGTTAAATTGGCTTTCATATTTTGTTAAGTGTATATCAATATATTATAATTTCATTATAACCCTATGTATCTCCCTCTGGTATTTAAAAGACATTATTCTGTAATAAGGGCTTTAGGTTTCCACAGACTGGCAGGGGGTCTGTGTCACAGAAAGGATTAAGAACCTAGAGGTGAGAGTGGGAACTCCAAGTAGGTCTCTAGCTGAAGAGCAGGGAGGGTGGTGCCAGGTGAGGTTCAACAGGTGGGAAGGGCCAGATGTCTGGCAGCCTTGTGAGTTACCCCGTGGAAGA